AGTCCTCAAATTTATAATGGACTTTGATATAAATTGAATATTTACACCAAGAATTGACCTATCTAGTCGTTGAACTGCATCAACTTTTAAACACTTATTAATTTTCCTTCTACCTCTCTCGATATTTTGTCTCTAATTGATTGGGCTGTTTTATTAATAGTTCTGGATAAATTTTCTTTGTTTATAACTAAATTGAGCCCAGATAGGAGTGGATTTATAATTCTTTGAAATCCCGAATCTTCAATAATTGATAAAGGCCGGCCATTTACAGTAACAAGTTCTAGTATAGAACTCATCAAATCATTAGATGATATATTTATACTTATATGCTTTTTTGGAAAAAAGGTTTCTAAAATAATTTTAGGTTTTTTTGCCAATAACAATTCCTGATATTTGGTTTTTTCATTTAAATATTCATTGTTGTGATTTTTTTCCAGGTGTCTTTCTAAATTTGACAAGTGATTACCAGACATTTTTACTTTGCAATATGAACATATTGATTTTTTTTCTATTGTATTAAGAGTAAAATGCTTGTCAAATATGACTTTATCTTTAATCTTAAATCTATAAAAAGAGAACAATTTTTTTAAATAGCAATGATTTCAGAATTAAAAAAGAGATATTTATACATTTATAATATGCACTTCATTAATATCTTGTAAAAATTAAACTGAACAAAAATAAATAATTAGCATATATAAATTTTAAAATCATTTTAATAAGTTCACAAAAACTGCCCTACATTTAACAATTTTTAAGTTAGATGTTTAGAATTTTTTAAATTAACAATATAATAATTTTTACTTTGATTTGTTAACCATTTTGTTCTAATTAATAATCTTTAAGAATAATAAGATAAAAATTTAAAAATAAATGGCGTAAATTAATTCAATTGTTTAAAATTTTTTAACACTCCAATAGGAATCGAGAATGAATTTAAAAATGGCATAAATGAATTAAGTTGTTTAAAATTTACTAACACTTCATTTAATTGGAAATTTGAAAATATAATATTTGTATTTACATATATTAATATATGATTTTAAATAATATACTGAACCCGGTTGAACCCGGGTTCAAATAAAATTCTTGGGTTCGGTTCGGGGTTTTGAAAATTTTATAAATGGGGTTCAGGTTCGGTTCGGGTTCAAAGTTTTTTTCTAAAAACCCGGGTTCACTTCTCCGGGTTCGGGTTCGGTTCGAATCCCTGCCTACAATCTTGTATGCAGGATCGACTTGCTAATCTCTCTTTAATTTCAATAGAAAATGATATCAACTCATCGTTAAATTATACTTACATTATATCCTCTTTTGCTTATAAAAAGCATAGGAGGATAAATAAAATTGCAATATTTTTTAACTTAGAAATCATAAATTTAGCGGATTTTTTCTAAATTCAAGTATAAGGTATTAATTTTTTAACGTTATATTTTAAAATATAAATAAGCAAAAAATTTATTAATATTAGCTAAAAATTTGATGTTCTATATGTAATATATCACATTTTTGTTAATATATATTGTTATGTTATTGCTTTTGATAATATTATTCAGTAACTTTATGTAATAATATTAAATCATCTGTCGTATAAATATGTACAATACCGCTACCAATATAATAATAATGATAATAATTGATTGATTGACAAGCTTCATATCAACTACAACATATATAACAAATTATGGCCGCCTCCTCACCACCAAATTATTATGTAATACACTACTAAAACTGATTGTGATATTTTAAAAGAATTGTGAGTTTTTACTAGTTTAAATGAACAGTGAGTATTTCTATAACTTATATCAATAGCATCAATGGTATGGGAAGATGGAGGAAGCTTAAGCTCATTGAAACATTTAAATAGCTTACCTAAAATATTTATATATAAAGATCCATATTATTTAGGAATAATTAAATTAGTTTTTTAAATATGTGTAGGTATAATTTTAGAGAAAAATAAAATTTTAGGAAGGTATTTATTAAATTTGTTAAGGTAATTACCAGAGTTGTTAAAGTATATAGATATAAAAATGTAGTATCTGTATCTAGATAGATTTGTTAGAAAGGTATCTGTATCTGTATCTAGATATTTTTTAGAGGTATCTGTATCGGTTTTTAGATACTTTTTAAGATACATTTTATATACCCCTTTTTTTATTATAAATAAAAATATTTGACTGTAAATTTTATTTTATTTCATATGAGCTTATGAAATAAATATATATTATATATTAATATTTATTAATACTATAATAAAGAATTATATATACATAAAATATTAAAACTTATATATAAAAAATATATATAAATAAAATATTCATTAATTTAAATATTATGTCCTAGTTTATCAATAAACCATTCAAATTTTAATATTACAATATGGAAATGGTAAATTTTATTTTTTAACTAAATTTTTAAGTTTATATATTTATTTAGATCTATATCGATGAAGAAGAGGAATCAACAACAAGTTCTATTGCTTTACCATGGCCAATTTATAGAGCATATTTTAAAATAGTATCTCAAAACAAAGAAAACAATTCTCTGATGGTAAAATGTTTGCCGTGTCTACCTAAAAATACAAAAATATCCGTCAGTATGACTTCAACGTGCAATATCGTGAGGCACATAAGGGTATAGATATTATATATTTAAAATTCTAATTTAAATTTTAAGAGAAAACATCCAACCTTGTTAACAAAAATAAAAAAGGGGAAGGAAAATAAAACTACCAAAGAAAATATTGGACAAGGCTCATCCTCCAATAATATTTTTGCTAAAAGACCTTTGACTTTAACTCAAGGAACTTTAGATGATTTAATTATTGCTTTTATTATAGATGGCATGCAGCCATTTTCAATTGTTGAAAATTCTTCTTTTAAAAAAATGATCAACACTTTGGCTCCACACAAAAATATAATTTGCCGACACACAGTTGTTGGTAGAATTTCCCAAAGATGGGAAAATGAAAAGAAAAAAATAATTAAAAGTCTTATAGAACCATCATTAATATGCACAACAGCAGATTGTTGGAGTGCCTATCGCCGGTATAGCTAACATTTAAATTTGTATAATAATTAATTAAGAATAAATTATTTCAGCAATTTTAAGAAATTTTAATTTTTAGTTCATACATAGGAGTAACCGCTCACTATATAAATCCAATAAGTTTGGAAAGAAAAATATAGAGTTTGCTTGTAAAAGAATGACTGGTAGTCAAACATATGATAAAATAGCAAGAAATTTACAAGATATAGCTAAGGATTATTGCATTCAAAATAAAATTTCAAAGACCATTACAGATAATGCCAAAAATTTCATAAAATGTTTTAGGTTTATTTTATTATAAATAAATATAAACATAATATATGATTGATTACTTAATTTATTAAAGAGTTATCAATCTAATTGAAAATAATACAAGTGAATCAATTGATGATCTGGAAGATGAAGCAGTTGTGCCAATTTCTATATCAAATCTTTATAATACTGCACAGGATTCTGAATTATCAGAATCATTTAGTTTACCTCATCACCAATGTTGTGCCAGTCACACATTGAATCTTATAGCCACTGTGGATGCCAATAGAGCCATGCAGTGTAAACAACATCAGAGGGTAAAACTAATTTTAATTAAATAAGTAATATTTTCTTCATTAGATATATGGCACAACACTACATAAATGCCAAAATATATGGAATAGGCAAAATAAGTCTCCTATTTCATCTGAGATTATTAAGGAATATATTGGTCGTTATTTTATATGTCCTAATATAACTAGGTTTAACTCCACCTATAATACCTACAATTAATGTCAGAAATTATAAAAGCTAAATCTGACAAAGTAGACAAGATATGTGATGGAAATAAACTACCTAGGTTTTTACCTAGTGAATGTGATTTTTTTCATGAATATTGTTTAATAAGTTATAAATAATATTTATATATATAGCATAATTAGCTAATGAAGCCATTAGCTAATTTCCTTGATATTTTGCAGGGAGATAAGTATATGTACACAGCTTATTACTGTGCAACTATTTCACAACTTATTATCAAATTAAAGAATTTTAAAGAAATGAACCTGCGATTCTGTTTACCACTCTTAGATGCCTTACTTAAAGGGATTGAGGATAGGTAAATTAATATATAAAATTAAAAATATTTAATAATTCTAGGTTTATTGTGACCTTATTTGAAGATGATAATATTATAGAAACCATGCTCCACCCTTTTTTTAAACTTGATTGGACATGGTTGCAAATGGAAGAAAATATTAATAAAAGAAAACAATTGATACAAAGATTAGCTGGTGAATTATCAAAGTCATCAACTGACTGCAAGCAAATAACCTGCCAAAAAAAACAAATAATTTAATTTCAGGTTTTTTTCAGTACCCTACAGCAGATATAATTTCTAATAATGATTTAAATTTTGATAATCAACAAATTTTAAATAATTTTTCCAAAAATGAATGTAGAGATTTTAGCATTTTTAAAGAATACCCTGATATAAAATTGTTATTTATTAAATATAACACTACAAAAGCGCCCCTGTGGAAAGACTATTTAGTGTTGCTAAAAATGTCTTTACAGATAAACGAGGATGCCTAAATGATCAAAATTTTGAAAATATTTTATTACTGAAATCTAATAATTATTTAATCATATATTTTCATATATTATATTAAAATCATTATTTTAGTTAGATTCTGATAAATGTTATATCGCGTCAATAAATTTTTTAGCTCATTTCATGAATTTTCACAATATAATATTAATTTAGGTTTATGCAAACCTATAAGAGCATAATAAAAATGTATCTGTATCTTGATAACTTTTTAGACGCTGTATCTGTATCTAGATAACTTTTGAGACTATGTATCTTAAAAAGTATCTTTTAACAACTCTGGTAATTAATTACACATACATTCTATATTATTAGGAAGAGAAGCTAATTTATAATTCCCGAACATTTATAGATACCCAGTCTTCCGTCCATGCATCTGGTAAATTTTTTAATTTTGGTGCAAATTCTTTCGTGTTGTTGTCTTCCAGAATATCCTGATCTAACTTATCACATATTATTTACTAAAGGAGTTGAAGCATATCATGGAAAGGAATGGTATCGATGTATATCATTTTTAAAAAGATCTATCGAAGATTTTAAATTTTTTCACAATACACTAATCAAATGTTATAGAAATTGTTTATCTATTGATCATAAGGCCAATGTTGAATTTCCCAACTTTGTGTTTTCTGCAGAAACTGATGAATACGATTATTTTCACCGACATATAAATAATACTCTATGCTTAATTAAATGTCGAAATAAAGAATTTTCCTTTCGACCACTAAATTTGCGAGAAACTATTGATGATGCCTTTGAAAACTTTTTGCCATATGATTATTTACAATACTGCTTCTATAAAGTGAATGTTACACACATATATATATATTAATGATAAGATACTATAGATTGATGATATTGAAAATGCTATAGCGCATGCTTATACCTATTATCTTTATAATCCTGATAATGATGTTATGAAAAATAATCTTAAGCTTTATCAAAATTTTACACATTCTAAAGGTAGCTTTAAAAATTTGGAATTAGAATACCATCATGTAAGATTTATAAATTAATAGTAATTAAAATATTTAATTATATAAAAATTAAAGCTTACATTGTGAACAGTAGTGGTTTGCATAAGGCAATATATTTAAGCACAGCCTGGTTAAGATAGCATTTGCCTTGGCCCAGTTCGAATTTTATTAAAGTTCCCAGGCTTGGTTAATTAAAATCCAGAAATATATCCTAATATCCAATAATGATAAGGATTTAGGCGTCATAATTTTCTTATTAAAGTAATAATCACAAAATTAAATGAAATCGTATTTATAAATGAATGATCATATTATAGGGCATTTAATCATAAAATTACACACAAAAAATTAAAAATTTTTTTTTTAACAAAATTAGGCCTTAGAATAATTTTTTATATTCTCTATACAGTTCACTGGGCATCTACATTTTACTACCCAGTTTGTCCCTTTATTTTTTGCTCTTTAAACCTGGCCCGAATATATTTTTTCAGGGTGAGGTACTTGGCTGGGAGTGGGACATTGTAAATTTAAAAAAATATGTTATGTTACCCCACTGTTTCCCTTACCAAATTCATATACAACATTTTTTGAAAATATAATTTTTACTCCTTGTTATATTTTTTTAAACATTGTCATAATTTGTAAACAAATATTGATCTCTTTATTTTTTAGAAAGATTATCCATTAATTAAGATATTCCTAAAGCTGTAATTTATAGACATAGCTAGAGGGAGAAAAAGCCCCCCTTCCATTTTGAAATTTATCTGTTATTATAAATAAAATTTAGGCTAATAAAAAAAATTGTTGAATAATATTATACTAAATTAGGTATTTATATAATGTTATCTATAATTTATGATATTAGAGATAATTTATTATTTATATATACAATTCACATATAAATATATGAAAATGGGAAAAATTCACAATCTGTAATATTTTGGTATTTGGCCTCTAGCCACAAGCTCCCCCCCCCTCACCTATAGCTGTTATTTTAAACTGAATTATTTTAAATGACAGACTCAATTATAATTGTAAATTTTGATTAGTTTACATGTCATAAATCACTTATATTATAGTTTTTATAATTATATTAATTTTCTATGACCATAACTATAATACCACTAAATAACCAACACATTAATAACTATTCCATTATCTATTAACTATAAAATATTGATAGATTTTGATTTATATATTACAATAAATGATTTATATTAAATATTTGTATCTTTTAAAAAATCTATATTTCTATATTAAAAAAAATTACAATAAGATATATTTTAATATAATATTTTAAATATAGAATATTTATGTTAAATAGAAATAAACAATTGGTTATATATAAAAAATCAAATCCAAAATTTAAAAAAATGAAATATACAGTAAAAAAGAGAAGAGTAAATTTAGCAAAGATCTATGGAGAAGAGAATGCCATAGAAACTTTGGTAATTCACTTTAAGCATAACTATATAGCCAGTTATAAATTTTTACACTTTTTTGATCCCTCCGTAATTCTTAAACACTTTCATTGCACCTCTTGAAATTTTGCTGAATTATTCATTCATCTAGCCTATATAATAAAAATTAAAATCATGTTTATAATTTAATTAATTCCAGAGATATTTTAAAATGAAATGGGATCAATTTTTACCAATCATCTACTTTTACTGGTCCATATCTCATATGGAGATGAAGGCTAAAATTTTTCTTTCTTTCTTTCTTATTATAATTTTTAAAAAATTTCTAGGATTGAGTTGAGAGTGTAGATGATTTGATATTGAATTTACTTTTATATACCATATATTTTATTCATTTCATGAAAAAAATACAGGAATTTTATATGAATGGAATTCAATCATATTTATCAGAAAATTGGTTTGAAGCTATCGATTATTTTGAAGAGGCCTTAACACAGTATTACAAAAAGGATAATGAATGCCGATTGCTTTGCCATGGCCCTTACAAAAAAATATTTAATTACGATTTTATTACCACTATATCAAGTATACCATTTTTGTTTATAGATTACTGGTAGGACTCGGAAAACCAGAAGCTAAACAAAAAAATTGGGTTGGTTTTAATAACCTCATTTTTTTGTTTATATTTCAATTTTTTTTGTTTATGTTTCAGTTTATTTATTTTTGAATCAGGGGCGTCACTACCCTTTACAATTTCAGGGGGCTCAAATAAATTATTTAAAATTTTATCCAAAAACCTTTATTTTTATAGCTGACATAAAAAAAAATTTCAAAATTTTTCAGGGGGCTCGAGTCCATGTGCCCCTCCTCCTAGTGACGATACTGTTTTGAATATTCCCAAAAAGACATTATTTCGAAAATTAATTTAAAATAGATTTATTTTTGGTTTTTGATATGTATAAAGTTTTTTATTTAACCACATGATTCATAAAATAATTTTAAAAAAAATATATATTAACAGATATTTATGCCCTTCGGTTGAAATGCAATAGAAATTGTATTCGCAAATTGAATACAATACCTGGAGAAAGGTCCGACGATACCACGTATTCGGATATAGACACGAAATACCTGTTTCTAGATGACTATCTGAGAAGTCATTACCATTATTTACAATTCGCTTACTTCAAAACCGAAAATTGGGAATCCGCTGCTAAAAATGTCGCCACTTATTTTGTATTCGACCCCTTCGACGATGATATGATGAATAATAAAAGATTTTATTTGTCCAGGGGATTCGTTAATCAAACGCATTTTACGCCTCGACAGGTTGCACAAGCACTGAAATTTATTATCCCGACTTTTTATTAGGGCTATGCATCCAAATATTTTTCACCGATCTGATCCGATATTTTATTGACCGATCCGATATTTATACTACTGATTTTTCACCACTCCATTTGAATCAAATGTAATTAGGAAATCAATATTTTTTATGCAAAAAATCGAATTATGCATTTAATTAAAAATTTTTATTTCTACAATTAAGACTATAATCAAAAAAAAAATTATATTATAATAGATAAAAAAAATATATTTAATAATATATCCATTTTATAATTATAAAATTTTAATATTTTAGATTTTTTAAAATAAATATGAGAGCCTCTAGATTTTCTGGCAATAAAATAATAAAATTGGCATTAATTATTTAAAAAGATCTAAAATAAATTAAGCTTTGGGTGTTTCTATTTTTATAAAAAAACTTTTAAAATACTATAAATCTATTTAAAAAAATAAATAAAATTTAGCGGGTGTTGTGCATTTTCATTGTTTAAAAAAAAATTATTTAGAAAATTTTATAATAATGATATACATAAAATAAAATAACAAAAAAAGTAAAAAGATCGGATCGGTTTTTTACAGGGATCGGCCCGATCCGATATTTAATATCGGCACAGCCCTACTTTTTATTTTGGAGTAAGGGTTTATTTTACGGCTACGTTTAACGATAAATTACGGTTATGTCGGGAATTTGGAATCGCGAAATGGGAATCTAATAAATCGCTTTTTAATTTTAGCTCATTATCAACTATATTACCTGAGATAATAGGTAATAAAGGCGCAAAAATCAGGTTATTTAACCTTTTACTGACGTTAAACAATTCGTTTTACATTAAAAACTATATTAGTTCGAATATTGAATTTAATATGAAAATCTAAGTCAATAATTGATAATTATGGGGGAAACAATCAAATTTAATTTTTTTTTAAAAATATTGGTAATCTTATGTCCAGTAGAAACTTTAAAATTAATATTTTGAAATTATGAACTTTAATTTTTCAATTTTTTTTTCCATATGCATGATATCACTCGTAAATCAAATGCCTTAAAATAATTTATAGCACCATCTACACGTTTTTATAAACATTATTTGCAATATTTTTTTAAATAATTACCCAGCCTTGTTAATTATTGAAGAAATTAATAGAAAAATAGTAAAAAAATAAGTCAAAATAAAAAGTTGAAAAATTGATAATCATTTCGAATTATTAATTTCCTACTGGACATAATATGACCTATATTTTATAAAGAATTAATTTAATTTAGCTTTTAATTTAAAACTAATTATTTATTATCAATAAAAGGTTAAAAAATGACCTTTAATTCCTATTATCTCAGTTAATATAATTTCTAATGAGCTAAAATTTCGTTTCAGATATAACTAGAGCATATATAACCGGCATCGAAATTGAAAGGGATCAACCGAAAATCTCGATTTTCTTGCACATTTGAAACGGAATTTCTCATTATGAACACTGTATTGTGTAGTGTATTTAATAATTTATAAGAATTTGTGCCGCAATCTTAATTCAAGCATTTTTTAAAAAAATTTTTTTAATTTTTTTAGGAAGCCATACTATATCACAATAGGCATTATAAAGAAGCGTTAATATTAAACTTTATAGAAGAAAACTTTAATTCCCAAATTATAAAACGTCCTCAAAAAAAATCGGATTCTCCTGCCATCGATCACGTTTTAAATAGTGTCGTTGAAATTCCTGTCAGAGAAGTTTCTTATTACCTACCATCACTTGAATTTATATGCTTCTAACTTCACTTCGATCAATTTTACAAGGAGGGTTATTGGGAAAAAAATATAACCTTCCCAAGGGTAGTGTTGAGATTAACTTTAACACTCATTTCCTATCAGGATTGGAATTAGAACCCAATTATAAATAAACTAACGAAAAAAATGTTTAAAATTCTAAATTGACCAAATTATTTTAGTATATCTTAATACAATTAATAATAAATAACACTAGCCATAATGATACACACTTAACCCTAGAGCTCTAGTACATCAGACCTATTGCTTCAGGTCCGGTTCAAATCGAAAAAAGAATCATATAATAGCTGGCGGTGTTTCTTTACCTGGTCTTTATTACTGGATATCTATAATTTTACTTAAAGACTTTTTATTTGAGAATGTCCATCAGGATTGGAGTATGGGCAAAACTTATAAATAAAAGATTCTTTTTCTTTTTTGTGAATTTTGAAAATGTATCTTGTAGTCATTTTTCATTTATGAAAATTTTAATATAGTTTAGTTACTTAATTGTAATAAATACATTATACACCCTATACGATAAATGAAATGAATATAAATAAAGTTTCTTGTTTAGCATTATGCTAATTTTCTTTTTCAATTTTTTTAGTCAATTATCTGCATCTTTTATATTAAACTTTTTGACAAATAGCCTGTTATCTAGATATTTAAAAAAAAATTTGTCCATCCCTGATGTTCATTATCAAATATTTCCATTATTCGCGATTCGAATTTTTTGAATCGAATAATTGTTATTCGTTAAATACGAATCAAATTGAATCTAATAACGAATAATTTATTTTTAGGTATACTGAGATATATTCGATCTGACATTTTTTAAGAAAATTCGATCATCATGCGTGATGGAGATAATTTTGTCCTTTATCTCAAATTCATCGAGAGATTCTAACAAATATTGTGATATCTCCTCACCACTATGAGGGTATGGTAGCTGAATTAAATCTAAAAGACAACTTTCCATTTTCCACTTTTTATCAATATAGTGGCATGTAATTACACAAAAAGACGATGAGTTAATGGAGGTCCACATATCAGTCGTGATAGCCAATTTACTTTTAATATTCTTTAAATTTTTTATGAGTTGTAATTTTGAAATTTTATACATTTTTTCAATTTACTTACAGGCTGTCTGTCTTGTCCAGATTTTTTCATTCTTGAATATGAAGGAAAATATATTTCGGAACTCCTTACTATCCATAGCTTTGAAAGGAATGTTATTTTTTATAATAAATTTCAAAATTAATTTGTTAAGGCATTCGTTTTCCTTAGGTAATCTACGAATGCCAACTAGGTTTTTGGGTATATCTTGTCTCTCTCCATTCTCAATTAAATCGGGATGATTTCTTCTAACGTGATTTTTTAAATTGGCTATAAAAATTAATATAGCTCATACTTTTATTTGTTATAATACTTGTTGCAGTGTGAACGCTAAAATATCTATTACACATTTTACACATTCGGCGATTTTTGTTGGGGCTTAATTCAAACATGCTCTTTGTATCAAAAGAAGTACTATCTATCGATGTATTAACTGATGAATCAGATATTATTGATATCTGACTCATATTGATGTCTTGATCTTGATTATCCAGAAGATCTGGTCATTCTAATCACATTTATAATTACAAAAAATTATTACATAATTCTACTTCCGAGTCAAAGTCCATGTTATTTAGCAGAGGGTTTCTGTTATCTTCATCACTATATAGGTACGACATTTTAGTATGAAAAGATGTGAAATAAAAAAAATAGGAAAATGATTTTTTCAAATATGTTTTCATTTAAAATAATTTTAAATATGATTGTGCAATAAAAAAATTATTAATAAAATATAAGAATAAATAATTAAAATTTATTACCCCCCCCCCCCCCCCCCTCCCCCACACTTCAATAATAACCAATCACTCCCCTTGTTTCTTTCTCCCAAAATAAATCTATCTATTTATAAATAAATTTTTGATATGTTCAAACGATTTATATTTTTTAATAAAAAAAGAATAGTAAATAAATCATATATTAAAATTGCACATATACAGTAATAATATGATTTGTTATTGTACAAATATAACACTATTTATTATAAATCATTTTAAGAATTTGAAAATAAAAATATTGACAAAGAAGCTTCTAAATATAGATATTATTCCTCCTTCCTACCCTATGCCCCCCCCCCCCCCTGATAATGAATTTTATGTGATATATCAAATTTTATCACCGATCTTTGAATTAAAAAAAATTGATAATAAATTTAAATTAAAGTCAATTAATTTCATTTCAAGCTTCTTTTTTTGATTTATAAATTAAACCCCCTTTTTAATATGAAATTTATATGTTTTATCACATATTCAATCAATAAGAATAATTTTTTAATATAAACGCCCCTTTTTTAAGAAAATGTTTTTCGATGTTTTGATTTCTTGTCCCTCGAGGAAACGCATAATAAGAATCAATACATTATTTATCAGAAACCTGCAGAGGTATCATATGTACGGCTTAAAATAATGTTGGCCTGGTCCGGGTTTTATATTTTCAAGCTCGGCCCGGATTTTTCTGATAAAATATTTTTCGGTCCGGATTTCTATAAAAAAAGATTTTCGGCCTGGGTGTATAAATTTTTTTTGTTTTGGGTTTTAAAAAAATATTAAAATATACCAATTCGGCATTTTACGGATCTTTATGTGATATATTATTCTATGATATCCAATTTTTAAATATATCTATTTATTTTTTATATATAATAATGGCGATTTACAATATTCGTGCAGGCCTGGAACTTTTTTTAAAAAAAGGTTTCTGTTATTTATAAATAAAATCTAATTTTACTTATGACTAAATTTATGGTAAATGTATAGCATTTATTTGAATATTCATAAGAATAATTTAACATATTTTTGGTGGGTCTTAACATTCAAGATATTCATATTTATCATGCTTTTTGATCATATTAGCACCAGGAGCTTAGCCAGGAATTTGCTTGGGAGTGGTGGGGGGGGGGGGTAATTTTTATAAAAAAATCAAAAATTTTTCCTTAAATAAATATTGAACATCTAAAATTTTGTAAATTTATTTATTAGGATTAATGACTAGAAAAATAACAATTACTAATATATTAATAATCTGTAAATAAATATCAAATATACTATAAAATAAATATAATTTTATCCACCGAAATTCTTTTATAATGACTAGATGTATATAAATAGCATAAAATCACGAGGCTTGATATTCGGCTAAAAATTTGGTTTCGCCGTTTTTGAAATCGGTTGAAACAGCCACTATAATATAAACACGTCCTAAAAAAATTTATACAAAATAATAAATTTTTGAACCTTTAAACATGTATATAAATCCATTTCATTTAATTCTGCTATTAAATCTTTGAATATACTGGTAAATGAACACAATTCGTTATGTAATTTAACGCTCAATTTATTTGCGAATTGTGCCAGTTTTTCCAAGGAATTTTCAGAAACCTTTACTATTTATTTCATCAAAATGCCTCATTTAAATTTTTTAACAGGTCCACTCGCACTTTTTAAAATCAAATGTCATCTTTCTACGGTACATATTTACTGAAATTTTAGTTTAACATGTTTACAATATCTATTTTTACCCATTTGCTTTAAAAAAATTCAAAAATAATTTTGACAATTGTCATTTTTTTATGATACACCTTCACTGAAATTTTAATTTAACATATTTTACCCATTTGCCAAAATTCAAAAATAACGATAATGGTACATAATCACTTAAAAATATAACGATGACAAATGCCAGTGCATTAATAATAGTAAGTCAGAGCATTATAATTAAAAGAAGCTATATATAACTTACCCTCCCATAATTTTAATATCTACTAAATGTTATTATTATATATATTGGAGTCAACCCTAGAAGTCTTGGTCGAAAAAAAATGATCAGGATAATGGGTGAGGTGAAAAAAAGAAACCTAAACCTTAGATCTTCCTTTAAAAAAGGACCCATATTTTGGATCGGATCCAATAAAACCACCACAATGGGTTGAAGTCGTAAAAAATGACCCGTTTGAGTCTGAGTCGAAAAAACGACACAACTATTCGTTTTCTAGTTTTAAGTATATAACTCGTATAACGACTAGTTGGAAGTCTAAAGTTAAAGAAAAATGTTTTATAAATTAATAATAACTAATTTAAAATCTCCGTCCTTAAGTCGACTCAAGTTCATAGAACTATTCGTCCTCTAGTCGACTCAACTATATAATTTGTATTCACGACTCATGAAAGTCTAGAGTAAAAAAAATGTAAAATACAAAAAATATCTTAATTAATAATAATAAATAATATTCGTCCTCTAATCGACTCAAGTTGACGACTCAAGTTCATAAAATATTCGTCCTCTAGTGACTTGAGTTCATAACTCGAGTTCACGACTTGAGTTTGAGTTAGTCGACATATTCAACTAACGACTCGAGACTCTGTGTCAGAGTCGGATGAACTCGACTTTTTAACAACACTACATATAGGTAATATTCATATTCACAAATCAAACACCCTTTCAAACATTAGATCTCTATTTAAATATAATATAGCAGCCGGCGCACAGGTTTAGATATATTTGAAAAATAGTCTTTGATTATGTTCATTTTAATATAATTGGAATTTATGTTTTATATGCCAAATTTTTCTATAATATTAAGAAAAGGAAGTCAAAAGATATTAATCTATTTTATACCTAAAACGAATTATTGGATTGTACAAATAACAAAATTAGTCGAATAATGAGGAAAATATATTACGAATAAATTTTAATATATTTCCGATCAAATTATTCAAAATAATTTGTAAAAAAATTATTGGTAAATATGAAATTATTCTTATTTTTTTTCTTCTCTTTTTCCACATCTCTAGATCACCCTTTTTTAAATAATCCATATAATATTTTTAAAGAATTTAATTTTCGAATAGAATTTTTGGCGAATCGAATTGAATAATGTTTTATACGAATAAAAAATTATTCTTTTCTTACAAATACGATTAATATAGTTATTAATTAATCATTAGAAACTACGAATCACGAATAATGCAAATATTTTATTCCTCGTATTTGTGTAGGTAGAATCTATTTAATGTTTAGATTTTTTTTAAAATATGGATAAATTAATTATTCACCCAGATATTATTCCCTATCTTTTAAGAAATTGTGATGTACTTAATTTTATTTAAAAAATATTTGATATTGATTAATATACAGATATCTATCTGAATAAATTTTGCAAATCTACCCCACTATGTGAATTTATAAAAGACTATAATTTCTGGTTTTTTATGACTTTTTTTCATCAATTTTATTATTATGATTTAGTATCGATTATAATACTTTCCTTTTGAGGATGCGTATTTAACTAATATTCATGGTTTCTTAGAAACCAAAATTGATTTTGTGAATATAAACTAACATTTGGCCCTTGTTTTTTCTTCTGGGGGGGGCATTATAGTCAAATAACAATTTCAAAATAAATGTTTATCTAATACATAGCTTAAAAAAGCCAATTATCCATGGTTATATTATTATTAATTCAACTAATCTGCACTATATCAATTAATGCACTCTCTGAAACAATATTTTTATGTTCATTAAAACAAAGTGTTTAAGATAAAAATTAATGAAGAAGTTGTAGTAACCAGTCATTATTACATTTTAAAAACTCGCAGTGACGTTGATATGGTTGATTAGTCGTGTGCAATCTATTCAGCTGCCACGACTACTTAAATAATAGATAGTCTCTGCAGAGGTGTTTTAGAATGTTTCATATTTTAAAAAAAAATTTATATATAATTTACTGAGGGAAATTTTATAATTTAAAAAATCTGATTTGACTGGAAACATTCCAGCATGTGTAGTATACGGTATACCTTATCTATATATAAATTTCAAACAATTTTTGCCAGAAATATTTGCTTATTTTTAATTTATATAACAATTCACCATATGGATGTCCAAGTTGAAATACATTTCCAATCAAATCAAAATTTTTCAAATTTAAAATTCGCCCTCTATAAGTAATTTGAAATGGAAAGATTCCATATCCCAATATGACCTATATATATTTAATTGGTACACACTTTTATTGACGTTACGTTACAATGATAAATCGATTTTATGCTAAGATAATATATCCAATAATGTAGAGATCTGCAAAGCCCTACCCATTCGAAAAGTTGCGGGCGGGACAATTCATACATAAATATCTAAGGGTTCCAAAACATTAACGGGTATGGCTAGGTAAATTAAAAAAAATTTTTATAAGGGAAAATTCATAATGGGCAGAAACGGACTAGGTTTTGCAGATTTCTAATTGACGTAAACGTGAAAAAGAATAGTAAATTTTTAAGCTATATTATATTATTTATTATTTTATATATAGAAACGACATTTATGGATATCATCCACTAAACATCAATGCACAGCGAAAATATACAATAAATTTTATTTTTAAAGATAATATAACAAAATTTTATAAATGATCGTGCAATATTTATCATATTTATACTAATTATGCAATCAATGTATATATTTTTATAAACTTTTAATATTTAATTTTGTTTTTAAATAACTAGTCTATTTTAACAAATTAGCGAGTGATATTATAATATTAGCTTTGTACTGATTGAAAAGTAATTATTAAAAAAATGATTTTCTCTTTATTTTTCCTTTTTTTATCCGATATTCTTATAAACGATATTGATCTTATATTTCAATTAATTTTTATTTACCATCTATCTTTGAATCAATGTTATAAAAAAACAATATTTTCTATTAAAAATTTTCCATGAGTGAATCATATTTAAAAATGTTGATGTGACTCATTTAATATTTATTTTAAATCCTTTTATAGTTGCAGATAGTGTTGTTAATCGACTAAATTTAGTCGACTAACAGACGACTAACTAATAGTTTTAGTCGAAAAATTCGACTAAAAACTTTAGCAACTAAATTAGTCTATTAGTCGACTAATTTAGTCGACTAAAACGACTAATATAGTCGACTAAAACGACTAACATAGTCGACTAAAATGACTAATATAGTCGACTAAAACGACTAATTTAGTCGACTAAAAGAACAAATTAAGTCGACTAAAAGAACTAATTAAGTCGACTAAAAGAACTAATAAAGTCAACAAAATTAAGTCATTAAACATAACATAATCGTTATTTTTGAACATTTTTTAAATTTTTTAGGTAAAAATATATGTTGTAAAGATGTAAAAATATAATTTCAGTGAAGATGTACCATCATAGAAAAATATAAATTGTCATAATCGTTATATTTGAAAAGTAAATAGGTAAAAATATATTTATTGTAAAAGTGTTAAAATAAAATTTCAGTGAAGATGTACCAAAGAAGAGTGACAATTGCATCGTTATTTTTTTTAACTTTTTTGAATTATTTTAAAGTAAATAGCTAAAAGTATATATTGTAAAAATTAAAATTTCAGTGAAGATGTACCAAAGAAGAGTGACAATTGCATCGTTATTTTTTTTAACTTTTTTGAATTATTTTAAAGTAAATAGCTAAAAGTATATATTGTAAAAATTAAAATTTCAGTGAATATGTACCATAGAAAAGTGACAATTGACATAATCGTTATTTGTGAACTTTTTTGAATTTTTTCATAGCAAATAGCTAAAAATATTGTAAAGATGTTAAAATAAAATTTCAGTGAAGATGTACCATAGAAAAGTGACAATTGTCATAATCGCTATTTTTTATCTTTTTAAAATTTTTTTAAAACAAATAGGTAAAAATATATATTGTGGAGATGTTAAAATAAAATTTCAGTGAATATGTACCATAGAAAAGTGACAATTGTCATAATCGTTATTTTTGAACTTTTTTGAATTTTTTCAAAGCAAATAGGTAAATATATATATTGTAAAGATGTTAAAATAAAATTTCAGTGAAGATGTACCATAGAAAAGTGACAATTGTCATAACCGTTATTTGTGAACTTTTTTGAATTTTTTTAAAGTAAATATGTAAAAATAAATATTGTAAAGATGTTACAATAAAATTTCAGTGAAGATGTACCATAGAAAAGTGACAATTGTCATAACCGTTATTTGTGAACTTTTTTGAATTTTTTTAGGTAAGAATATATATTGTAAAAATGTTAAAATAAAATTTCATGAAGATGTACCATAGAAAGGTGACAATTGTCATAATCGTTATTTTTGAATTTTTTTAAAGTAAATAGGTAAAAATATATATTGTAAAGATGTTAAAATAAAATTTCAGTGAAGATGTACCATAGAAAAGTGACAATTGTCATAATCGTTATTTTTGAACTTTTTCAAAGCAAATAGGTAAAAATATATATTGTAAAGATGTTAAAATAAAATTTTATTGAAGATGTACCATAAGTGACAACTGTAATAATCGTTATGAGTGAACATTTTTAAATTTTTTAAAGCAAATAGGTAAAAATATATATTGTAAAGATGTTAAAATAAAATTTCAGTGAAGATGTACCATAGAAAAGTGACAATTGTCATAATCGTTATTTTTGAACTTTTTCAAAGCAAATAGGTAAAAATATATATTGTAAAGATGTTAAAATAAAATTTTATTGAAGATGTACCATAAGTGACAACTGTAATAATCGTTATGAGTGAACATTTTTAAATTTTTTAAAGCAAATAGGTAAAAATATATATTGTAAAGATGTTAAAATAAAATTTCAGTGAAGATGTACCATAGAAAAGTGACAATTGTCATAATCGTTATTTTTGAATTTTTTCTAATAGGTAAATATATATATTGTAAACATGTTAAATTAAAATTTTAGTGAAGATTCCACAGAAAAGTGACAATTGCCATAATCGTTATTTTTGAACTTTTTTGAATATTTTCACAGCAAATAGGTATAAATATTTATTGTAAACATGTTAAGTTAAAATTTCAGTTAAGATATACCATAGAAAAGTAACAATTGTCTATTTTTCAACTCTTTAGCTGAAACGAGCAGACTTTTAGCCTACGCCCCTTTATCTTATTGGGCGAGCTTGCTAAATAATATCAAAAATTACGAGCGGACAGGTTAAAAAATTTTACTTTTAATTTTTATTTAAAATTTATCAGGTAACATTAAAAAATATATGCTTCATAAAATTTTTACATTTGTCCAAAGTACAAATAATTGTTGTAGATTATATATGTGGGAAAAGCTTATGAGATTAAAAAACTTCTTAGATTTTATTTGCATGGATGAATATAAATCGACGTGAATAAAAATATGATTTCACCTGTGGCCCAAAAGAAAAGAAAATTTAATTATTAAATTTTAAATGCACTGTTTAAAATAGGTCGCATCAACGTCAAGATTAAATCACAACATAAGAGTAGATGAGGTTATGAGATGAGAGCACACTTTTTAATTATATAACCATTTAAATTTTAAAGTAAGTTTATTGATTTTTTAAGGCCTAGCACCATTATTTTTTTGTACATTTCTTTAATTTATTATTTTAGAAAAAAATGATAAATCCCTCCTACGTTTCTCTTTCCCAATGTTATTTAAAATTTGTAACAATAATTTAGCAAGATTTTTTGGTTCTTTAAATTATTTCATTAAAATGTATTATTTATATTATATTTATTATTTTAAATTTCAATGATTATAGCGCCTTGATGGCACCAGTAAGTTTTTGTATAAAATTTTTATTTTTAAAAAAATTCTTATTTTAATTTATATTTAAAAAAAAAAAAATCTTTTTTAAAATAATTTACATTTATAATGAGTAGTTTATCTTTATCTTCTTCTTCAAGCAATGCCATTACTATGATGGATTCTCAAGAGATAGTAGAAGATGAAGTAATTTATTTAATTTTATATTTAAAACTAATAAACCCAATGTTTTATTAAAAAAAGACCTTATTTAGAGATTTGGAGTTAGAAAATACTAATACTATTATGGATTCTCAACAGAAGAATGAAGATGATGTAAGTTTTAATATTTTTTTATATATTTAATTTAAATTATTATACCTAATTAGTGTTTTCGGCCTGGGTTCAAGCCGGTTCAGAAGTTATTTAATATGATACCAATTTAGAGAAATGGTAAAAATATTTTATTCAAAAAGAGCGCACAGGTCGGGCTTCAGCCGACTCATGACTAATTAACCGGTTTGAATATGAGTCGTTTAGCCGGCCTCTCTCAACTATTTAGCAACAAAAGACATTGTGTTGTTAAAAAGACAGTTCACCCGACTCAGAGTCTCTAGACGTTATTCGAATTAGTTGATTAACTCAAGTCGACTCTTTTATAGTCAAAACAATTGGTCCCTTTATTTTAAACTCTTATCTATATAGGAGAGACTGGGGTTATTCGAACCAATTTTTACAAAATTGGCAGCTCCTATGATTAGATACCTAAATCTATATTCTATAAAGGTGCCTTATAAAAAATCTTAAGATTATAATTATTTTTTTAAATTTTAATTTTTGTAAAAGTGATAATTTTGTTCAACAAGTCCCGATAATGCATTTTTATTTATTAATAATGATATGTATTGAATAATTTTATTGTTCAAAATATGATATTACTTATAAATTGAAGCTAATAATATATAAAAATTGAAACTTAATTTTTGCTAATTTAATAAACATTTTGGACATAAAAAAAATATGTATTAGAGATTAAGATTTCTAAGTATTCCCAAACCAATCATATCTGTGATGAAGTACTTAAGTGCTTGAAGCCCTTAAAAAAGGGAAGACAGGTGGGTTGGATGGTTTTAGACTCGGTTTTTTTGTTGATTTAATTCAGTGCTATGATAATGGTTTTATTGACCCTTTGATGAAATGATTAACTAAACTTTGCAATAATATCCTCTTATGAGAAGTTCCTCTTTGTATTCGTCCAATTCTTTTTGGCGCTCGTCTTGTTTCTTTAACCAAGCCGGATCACGGCGGCAAAAGACTTGTCTGGGATGTCTTGTGTGTTACCTCCTTTCCGGCTAACGGAAATACCGCACCCCTGAAACTCCAAGAACTCGATAAGTTTAATAAATATAGATTCCTCCCTAATTTTTTTAATAGTCGTAGTCATGGAAATCGACTAAAAACTTTAGCGATTAAATTAGTCTTAGTCAACTAAAACAAATAATTAGTCGATTTAAACGACTAATTTAGTTGACTAAAGCGACTAATTTAGTCGACTAAAACGACTAATTTAGTCGACTAAGTTGATCTTTTTAGTTAGCAGCATATATAGGTAAAAGTATAAATATATATTGCAAAAATATTAAGTTAAAATTTATGTGAAGATTTACCATAGAAAAGTGATAATTGTCATAATCGTTATTTTTGAACTTTTTGAATTTTTTCAAAGCAAATAGGTAAAAATATATATTGTAAAGATGTTAAAATAAAATTTCAGTGAAGATGTACCATAGAAAAGTGACAATTGTCATAATCGTTATTTTTGAACTTTTTTGAATTATTTTAAAACAAATAGGTAAAAATATATATTGTAAAGATGTTAAAATAAAATATAAGTGAAGATGTACCATAGAAAAGTGACAATTGTCATAATTGATATTTTTGAACTTTTTTGAATTTTTTC